ATTAAAAATAAAAGATTTTAAGTTTATCTCATATAATATACTAATAAAGTAAAATAAAAAATGAGAGGTAATCATTTTTTATTGTGTAATTAATATATATAAAAATATATATATATATCTTAAGGGACACTAACTTATGTGATACTGCAAGAAAATGTTACCGTATCAATAAATAGCAAAGTGGTATGAGTTGGGACAAGATTAGGACCCACAAAAGAAGTATATATATATATATATATCTTAAGGGACACTAACTTATGTGATACTGCAAGAAAATGTTACCGTATCAATAAATAGCAAAGTGGTATGAGTTGGGACAAGATTAGGACCCACAAAAGAAGACGTGTCCTTGCTATATCTCTCCCCTTTTCCAGCTGTAAAACCTCATTACTGAAATCTAGTCATCTCCATGCTTGCTCTCACTTCTTCCTTCCTCAGAGCCTTCACTGTACCAAAATCCTAAACCCTGCTTATGTCCCATGGCCGTTGCACCCCAAATTTCCTCCAAGAAAAATTGTCTCTTTCTCCCTTCCCTCCCCGATGAAATCATATTTGAAAGTATTCTAACTCGATTACCCGTCAAATCCCTCGTTCGATTCCGCTGTGTCTGCAAATCCTGGCGGTCTTCCATATCTGATCCTCGATTCATCCAAAATCACCTCAGCCTTGTCAAGGCCCATGACGGTTTGGATAATTGGAGGGTCATTTTGCAGTACCCGCGTCAGATTCTCAAGTCTTGCTCTTTGTCTAATATATTTCATGAGCCGTATGGGTACTCGGTTGATCTCGATTTTCCGAGGAAGAAAGCTCGTTTGGATGTGGAAATTGTTGGGTCTTGTAATGGGTTGGTTTGTCTCTGTTTCAGGGAGAGGACGGAGAATCTGTTGATCGTGTGGAATCCGTCCATTAGAGAATCCAAGGTAATTTCTGCTTGCGTGGCGGGTTCTCCGCCGTTGTCGGCTTACGGGTTTGGTTACTGTGGGATCTGTGATGATTATAAGCTTGTTCAATTGGCAATTGGGAGACCCTTGAAACCCCGAACCAATCTTTACTCTTTGAGAGCCGATTCTTGGAAGAATACTGACGAATTCCCTTTAGAAATAAACTCTGTACCATGTTCAGCTAAGGTTGTGGATGGAGCGTTAAATTGGGGAGTCCATCTTAATTCAGAAAATTCTTGGGTGATTGTCTGTTATGATTTAGCAGAGGAGAGATTTGGGACGGTCTCTCGGCCTGATGACATTTCTCCGATGACTAATCCGACGCTGAGGGTATTGGGCGGATGCCTTTGCATATTATGTGCTCGATTAAATGTCTCTGTGGATGTTTGGATGATGAAAGAATATGGGGTCAAGGAATCCTGGACTAAGTTGGTTAGTGTGAAATATCCGCTGGGGTTGAAGTCCTGCCAGCTATCAAAAGCATTCTGCTTCATGAAATATAATGGAATTCTGATGTACCTTGGGAAGACTCTGTTCTTGTTCAATATGGATGAAAAAACTTACAATTATCCTGTAATTTTTGGCGTTAATGATTGTCATGAAGCTGATATCTATGTAGAGAGCCTAGTTTCTCCCAATGCGTATAAACCAACAGGTTCCAAGACCTTTACAATTGAGGAACAGGACATAGAGGTATGATAATATTTCTACTGTTCTGTTTAATTCTCAGTTAATATTTCTCCTGTTCTGTTAATTCTCAGTCTGTTTGTTTCCTTTGCATTTTTAGATGTAGCATCTACTGTGGCTTCTGCCACCTTAGGTATTATCACATAGGGCTTCTGAATAAGAATTGAGGAATGAGAAAACAGGGGAAAGTTTTATATGCCAGCTCTTCTGCACAGGTGTGTGTAAATTTGTTTAGAAGCCTAGAAGGTTAGTCTAAAAATGGTATCTCTATTATTATTTATACCTATTGTAAAGATATTTTTAAGATTCAAACACCAATGAGGCTTTAGTTTGGTTGTTAAAGGACGAGTAAAGTTTGAGAGATCCTTGTTTCAAATGCAAATACTCCACAATTGGTTAAATATCAAATTAAAATTTGTGATGTCCTTAGGACTAATTAAAGTTTCCAAACAACTTAATGAAAGAATAATTGCAGCATAAGACCTAATTGCATTATCACAGAAGACATAACCTATGTGACTGGATGATGATAACTAGTGACTATTGGTATTTGCTTCCACTTCTGTTCTGGTTTTGAGAGTTGGCAGATGATTACTTCTGAAGCAGCTTTAATATATATATGTTTGCTTCTATATTCCATGTTAGAAAAATGTGAATCTTAACTAATGTTTTTTGCATTCATCCCTTTATCCCATGATCCCTGACATGATACCATATATCATAGAATTTTGATAGGCTGCTTTATAAAGTGACAGTAGTTTTAGAGTTAGCCAGATTTATGATTGCTAGTGTTCTACACCATTGGAGTTATGCATGTTCACTTGCTTTGAGTATCAATCTGGTTGTGGGTTGAATTAAGGGAGAGGAAGAAAAATGTAGTTTGTGGGCATCCTTTTTATTTTAGAGTGCTGAATATATAATTGCTGAATTTACATGTTCTTTGTGTCTGATCAGTGGTAATTGTCTTTTGGTACAGTCTTTTTTCTCATGCTACTCTGAGCTCGGACGATGAAGCCCATGGTACAACCCGTCAACTGTTTTATTTATTTATTCCTTCGAACACCTTCAACTTTGGGTTATACTTAAGGAGCAGGACAAGGGGTTCAAACCTTGAGACTGGTAGTCTAGTATTCTGTTTTATAATGGATTAAATGATATTACAAATGGTATAGTCATGTTATCGTTGAATAACCTCATAATTGAGCATATTATGAGTTCTGAAGTTGAAACTCTTCTATATTTGTAAGGTGTAAGGTGTTGCATATACTTTCCAAAGCTGGATTATTGAAGCAAGGGGGGGGCATAAAACATTTATGTATCCCTTAGCATATAGACGTTGACTGCTTGCCAATTGTAAGTAATAAAAATGGCGACTGCTGACTTTCTGCAGGCTTAGCTGTTTGACATGGAAAGTCTTTATTTGGAATGCTATATATTTCCGATATGTTAATAAAATTTTTGACATGTGTTCTACTAATTCCTATCTCTATTCAACTCTAGTTGGCGTGGTTTTTTTTTGGTAAATGTATAATTTTTTTTTAATTTTTTAATTTTTTTGAGTTTTGGGATTTTCTTTTAATGGAACTTTTTGGATCTTAATTCTAAATGAAATTTTAATATAATATATAATAAATGACAATTGAATTTTTTTATTGAATAGAACTACTAGTTAACAAGAATGACGAATATGAAAAAAAATAAAATTTTTATATATTAAATATATTTTGTTAAATTTTAATTTGAAATTATTATTCAAAAAGTCAAAGTAAAATAATTGAAGTTGGTTGGTGTACTTAATTCTATAAATTTGTTTTTAGCACAATTTGGCAATTGTAGGAGAAAAGGTGCACCTGGTTATTAACTTCGCCTTTTTTTTTTTTTTCAAAGAGTATAAATTTCATTGGTTTATAAATAATGTTATAAAATTTTAATTTTTTATTTAAGAATGTTAATTTTATATTTTTTATTTAAAAATTAATTAAAAGGTAATATTAATATGACAAGCACCTTTTTAATCATTGAATTAATACTTAAATAAAAAAAAATAAAATTTCTATCTTTATAGGTAACTTTTCCCTCAATTATATAGTATAATAATAGTAAGATGCTTGCTTTGTACTAAAAATAATGATTTTTATATTTTTCTGTATTAGATATTTTTTTCCTCGCTTGGGCTAACTGAACTCACGGGCGAAAACGACTACTGTAACGTTCCTAAAAGTTGAGGATCCCATGGATCGGTTTTAAATGTTAAAGGACAATTTTGCAAGCAACTCTAAAAGCGGACCATTAAAAAATAGTACTTATAGTATATAATTATACTTTCTCAAATTTATAGTAATAAGATGAATAATTAAAATTTATAATATGTAAAGTTATATAGATTATTAACTTTATTTTGGTCCCGAATACATGATTCAATTCTCACATAACGAAAATAACAAAAAATAATTTAATTAAAAATTCACTAGCTCATTGAAAATGCTCTTAGAACAAGATCATGACATAGAACATAAACGTTAAAGGGTGTCGACAACCATGCTTCCTCTTACTCAATTTTCATTCAATTTCTTCCTTTCTACAGAGGAGCACTACACATAAAATGACAATATTTTCTGCCTGCTACAGTGACTTTTGGCTAACTAAAACATTGACTAAAAATGTAAAAGTTTGCTTGCAGAACTCTATGTAATCCAGTGGTGGCCACGCTGCCCTTTGGACAGCAGGTGGATTACACCTACTTTTAAGATTCGACTCTTTCACAGTACAACAGATACTAACACTTACCTAATTATTTCTTACTGTCAAAAAAATAAAAATAAAAATAAAAGTTTGCTACCATTTGTTGCAGCCCATGTGCAACTCCATGCAGCTGTCACTTTGCTGCTACTCTGCTATCATGTTGCAGCATCATTCAGTAGCTCTTACTTCATTGCATTTGCAGCTTTCAAGCCATAACTCCAACACGGCAGTCACTCCTCTGCAATCCGAACAA